TTTGGGGACCCCCCCGCCACCGGCCAGGGGAGGTGGCCTCGAGGCCGAGACCCCCCCCAAACTTGCTCCGCAGGCCCCGCCCAGCGGGGGCTTTGGAGCTGCGGCCGCGCCACCAGGACTCACCTTGAAGGCCTCCCTGCGTTGATACTCCAGCTCCGCAGGCCCCGCCCAGCGGGGGCTTTGGAGCTGCGGCCGCGCCACCAGGACTCACCTTGAAGGCCTCCCTGCGTTGATACTCCAGCTTCGCCATCTCCTCCGCCACCCAGGCCGGGATGTCCGGGATGGCCACTTGGATGAGGTACTTCAGGAGCAGGGCAAAGTGCTGCGGGAGGAGACAGGCTGAGAGCTGGGGGGGGCCTCCATGCGGCCGCTTTAGAAACAGCCCCGGGCTCAGAGCCTGGAATCTGACCGGCCCCAGGTTCCTCGCCCTCGGATCCCAACCCGGGCGGATCCCCTGTACGTCCCCCCCACAGCAAACACAGTGCCCGTGTGCGCGACGCAAGCAGCAGCAGCCCTGCTCCAGAGACCCTACCATAACAACCCCACACTCAGCTCCTGCCAGAGACCCTACCATAACAACCCCACACTCAGCTCCTGCCAGAGACCCTACCATAACAACCCCACACTCAGCTCCTGCCAGAGACCCTACCATAACAACCCCACACTCAGCTCCTGCCAGAGACCCTACCATAACAACCCCACACTCAGCTCCTGCCAGAGACCCTACCATAACAACCCCACACTCAGCTCCTGCCAGAGACCCTACCATAACAACCCCACACTCAGCTCCTGCCAGAGACCCTACCATAACAACCCCACACTCAGCTCCTGCCAGAGACCCTACCATAACAACCCCACACTCAGCTCCTGCCAGAGACCCTACCATAACAACCCCACACTCAGCTCCTGCCAGAGACCCTACCATAACAAACCCCACACACACTTCGCACTCCAGCCGGAGACCCTATAACAAACCCCACACACAGCTTCTGCTCCAGAGATCCTACCATAACACCCCTCCCACACATAGCCCCAGCCAGAGACCCTACCATAACAAACCACACACATGGCCCCACCACTCAGGAGAGACCCTCCCACAACAACCCTCAGCCCCGCGAGCACGTCCGTACCTCCAGCACCACCACGGAGATGATGGCCCCCTCTGGGCTGAGCCATGGGAAGAGGCGCTGCAGCTGGCCGCACTGACCAATCAGGTAGCAGTTCACCACGATGGCCAGGACGCCCATGGCCTCCATCACTTTCTGCAAGACGAACCCCGGGGATGAGACACGCCACGCACCCCGGGCGGGGACCCAGCCCATCTCCCCCAGCCAGGCCAGACAGACAAGGCTACTCTAGCTAGCTCCAAACTCGACAGCCGCCTGGGGCAGCAGATTGGGCCCAGCTGCCCTTCTGGACGGGCGTCGGGGCCAAATGTGAGTGGCCACAGGGTCCAGTGCGCGGCGTCACAATACCGCTCTCTCAGGGTACGTCTACACTAGCCCCCTAGTTTGATCTAGGGAGGCTAATGAGGGCGACCGAAATTGCAAATGAAACGCGGGATTTCAATATCCTGCGCTTCATTAGCATGTTCCTGGCCGGTTGCCATTTTAGAAATTGACGAGCCCGAAGTAAATGCCCGCGTCTACACGCAGCAGTGAAACGGGATTCCAAATTAAAGCCCTTAAACTGAATTAGCTGGTAAACCTCATTCCAGGAAGAATACCAGCTAATTCGAGTTAGGGCTTTAATTCGGAATCCCGTTTCACTGCTGCGTGTAGACGCGGGCAGTTACTTCGGGCTAGTCAGTTTCTAAAAATGGCGACCGGCTGGAAACATGCTAATGAAGCGCGGGATATTGAAATTTGCAATTTCGGTCGCCCTCATTAGCCTCCCTAGATCAAATAGGGGGCTAGTGTAGACATACCCTCAGACTTGGTCTGGCCACCGCTCTCTCCCGAGGGAGGAGTGGCCCAGCCAAGCCCTCTCTCCTCCTGTGGAGGGATTTGCCCCACTAACATCCTGTGGCAGGGAGTTCCGCAGGTGAAACAACTGCTCCCTCAATTTTAGTAACCATCAACTGGGGCTTATTCCACTCAGTGCGTTTGCTCTGAGCCATCAGGTAGAATTCTATGTAACAGGGCAGCAGGTCTGGGGCCAGCTCACACTGGTTGATGAGCCTCCCTCACTAAGTGCGGGCAGGCTGCTGCGAGGTGGGGGCTGGGCTGCCAGGGGGCCTGGCCTGGTCCGGTCCGTGGGGCTGATCAGAGGCCGGGACAGCAGGACTGGGGTCTCCTGGTGAAGACGGGGGCTGAAGGCTGAGCCCATGAAGAGCCTTTGGGCCCTGTTTGGGGCGAGCGCGTACAGACCCAGCGAGAGCCAAGTCCCACCCCAGGCGGCGGGAGCCTAAGGAAGAGAGAAACCAGAGAGGCTGCAAGGCCCCGATTTGCCCCCTCGCTGGGATCAAGGCCTGTACCCAACCCCTAACAAACAGCAACTCCCGTCCCGAGGGCACCTCCCGCCAGACCGCTCCGAGCACACGGTCGCTCTGCTGGAAACATGCAGCCAGCTCTGGGGAGGAGCCCGGCACACGCACCGAGGCAAGCAAAATGCTTCACCTCTCCTGCCCTCCACGGGTCACAGAGCCCAGGACTGGGCGCCTGGCCGTGCCGGCTCCGTGCCCCACAGGGATCCCCAGCAGGCCCCTTTCCAGCCTCTCTGTCGCTCTGACACGTCCCTGTTCCCCCCCCACCAGCTGTTCCTTCTGCCGCCCCCCCCTGCCACTGCCCGATGCTCTCCACCCGCTGGCCGAAGGGGCGCTGCAGCCCGGTGCACAGCTTGAAGGCGTCGCTGCGGATCTCGATGATGTTGTTGATGAGGGCGCACAGGGCGGCCAGGGGGAAGGCGGAGGAGAAGAGAACCACGTAGCCAAACTGGATGAACATCTCCTGGTAATCCTGGAACGTGTCCTGGGGGAGGGGAGGAGTCTGGCTGGGGGGGTACAAGTCCCTGCTGCCCCATGGTCCCATCCTGCAGCCCTGTTAGCCCAGCTCTGGGTGCCCCCCCCCCCCACACAGAGCTGCCAGTGCCCTCCAGCCCTGACCCACAGTCCCCTGCTAGCCCAGCCCTGGGGACCTCCCCCCGTCTCAACTCGCAGCCCCTGCTAGCCTAGCTCTGGGCTTCACACACACCCAGCTCAGCCCCAACCCACAGCCCCTTGCTACCCCCACCCTGGGCTCTCCACACACCCAGCTCTGCCAGTGCCCCATAGCCCTGACCCACAGCCCCTGCCAGCCCCGCCCTGAGCTCCCCCAATGCTGAGCTCCGCCGGTGACCCAGGCCACTCGGGCGCCCCTCTATCCCAGCCCTCACCTCGTACTTCTTCATGCAGCTCTCCACCTGGGCCTGGGAGAGCTGGGGGGAGTAGTTCTCCTCCGGCGGGTCAATCCAGGAGGCCCGGTTCCGCCTCCTGCCTTCCTCCTCCTCCTCCTCCTCCCGGCTCTCGGGCGCCGGGCCCCGCCGGGCCCGCAGGGTCACCGCCAGCTCCTTGGCTGGCGGGAGGGGGGCGCCCGAGGGGGCCCCGCCCC